CCACAGTTTTCTAGGGCTCTCCAGTCCCACAGGGGAATCCGAGAATGCAGCCGGAAGTTCTGCTGGCTGACCATAGAGCTGATCAGAGACCATAATGACTTCAATCATCTCTATGATCCAAAAAAAATATGAAAAGGGACAGTGTGAAAATTAAAAAAAACAAAAGAACTAAAAAAAAAAAAAAAAAAAAAACACCCTTGCACCCCCTGAGCACGCACATGCATGAGCAACTGTTGACCACGTGCTGGTATGTAAACAGCAGTTGCACCATGCATGTGAGGTATCACCGAGATCATTAGAGGGCAGTAATTCTAGCGCTACTCCTGTGTAAATATAAATTGATGACCTGTAAAGGCTTTTAAAGCATCGCCTATCGATAATAAAAATGTATGTATTGTGTTGCCATTGCACAGGCATGCACAATTTTAAGCATGTCATGTTTGGTATCCATTTACTCAGCATTACATCATCTTTTATATGTTATCAAACAATTGGGCAATATATTGTGTTTTTGTTCATTAAAATTCTAAAAAGTGTATTTTTCTCAAAAGACTTGCGTTTGAAAAATCGCTATGCAAATACTGTGTGATATAAAAAATTTCAACACCCACCATTTTATTCCCTAGGGCCTCTGCGTTAAAAAAACAACTAAATATATATATATATAAAAATGTTTGGAGGTTGAAGGTAAATTTCTAGCAAAGAAACAGATTTTTCATGTGAACAAAAAGTGTTAGTAAAGGCTTGGTCTTCAAGAGTGGGTGATGTATGGCAGACGCTTCTAATCTTGGCCTTGAAATGCCAGGATAGTAAAAGCCCCCCCCCCCCAAAAAGACCCCTTTCTGGAAAGCAGACACTCCAAGGTATTTGATAAGAGGCATGGTCAGTGTTTTGCAGATCTCATTTGTTGCCACATGATTTTGGAAAATGAAGAAAGAAAACAAAAATTGTTTTCTTTTTTTCTTTTTCAAAAACCCGTGACATAAAATGATATCTATAAAATACTCACCATGCCTCTTATCAAATACCTTGGGGTGTCTACTTTCCAAAAAGGGGTCATGGGGGGGGTGGTGTTTGTACTATCCTGGCATTTTAGGGCCTTTGAAACTGTGATAGGTAGTGGGGAAGTGATATGAAGAAATATTGCCCTTTGAAAGCCTGGCGGTGGTCATTGGATTTTGGGGACCTGTATGCAGCTAAGTTGCCAAAAAAGTCTCTCACATGTGGTACCCCATACTCAGAAGAAGTAGAAGAATGTGTTTTGGGTGTGTTATTCCACATATACCCATGGCAGGCACGAGCAATATATCATTAAAGTGACAACTTTGTTTAAAAAAAATTGTCATATTCAAAAAATGTTCCATGGACTCAACATGCCTCTCTGCAAAATCCTTGGGGTGTCTACTTTCCAAAAGGGGTGATTTGGGGGGAGGGGTGTACTGTCCTGGCACTTTAACACTTCAAGAAATATGATAGTCAGAAAGTAAAAGCTACATAAATTCCAGTATATACCATAATTTGTAGACACTATAACTGTCACACAAACCAATATACATGTATTGAGATTTCTTTTTACCAAAGACATGTAGCAGAATACATTTTAGCCTAAATTTATGACTAACTTGAGTTTATTGGATATTTTTTTAAACCAAAATTGAAAAATATTGTTTTTTTACAAAATTTTCGGCCTTTTTTTGTTTATAGCGCAAAAAAAATAAAAACGCAGAGGTGATCAAATACCACCAAAAGAAAGCTCTATTTGTGTGAAAAAAAGGACATAAATTTTGTTTGGGTGCAACATTGCATGACTGCGCAATTACCAGTTGAAATAGTGCAGTGCCCAACAACAAAAAATGGCCTGGTCAGGAAGGGGGGTAAATCCTCAGGAGGGCGAGTGGTTAATGAACTGATCTGAAACTAAATGAATGTTTTTGTTCTGCACGTCTAATCTGAGGTTATATAACAGTTCTAATGACATAAACACACCTTGCAGCATTTATTTACTTCCAGATAAAAGAGCAAAAACTTACTGTGAATAAAACCGATCATCAAAACAGTATGTGAAACATACGATTACGCCTAAAACAACTGCAGCCATAGAAATATCTATCACTGGATACCGTCCTATAAAAGAAAAAACACAACAGATATTATCTCAGTCCTGCATGTCTGGAGAACCCAACACTTCTATATATACTGACTGTACATTTATCATTGCAGGTGAAGCATTTATATTACTGGATTAGAATAGGTAGAATAGGACGCTACTAGTGTTCAAGGTATCCGCTCACTAAACATAGCTGTGGTCCCATAAACCAAACACTACTTCTCAACAAAGAGAGGTTTTTGTGAATTAGATGTCCACCAGAAGGAGGTTACATTAAGGGACCAATGTGGTGAACCATACGTGAGTGTTGTACAAAACTGCATTTATTGATTAGAATATTAACCGCTCGCCCTCCGCCCTATATCAGAAGTACTGCTACAGGGTGGCAGGGCCACACACACACACACACTTTACATTTTCGGATAGGGGGCGCACCTACACGCGCTCCACTATTGGCGACTGGGGATGTCGATCACTCAGTGATCGTCGGCAAAGCTGACAGGTGAGCGAGCTGTATGTAAACAGAGATCTCTCTCCTGCCAGCAAGGACATGCTGCTTTGTATCTCTTTTCCTAGTAAAACAGCACACAGATAACTCTTTGATCAACCCAGATGTTAACCCCTTCCTGTCCAATGCCATTAGTACAGTGTCAGTGCTTTTTATTAGCACTGATCATTGTATTGGTGTCACTGGGGATATCAATGGCAGGTAGTCAGTTCCCACCAGTGTCAGAATGCCCGCCGCAGTCGCTGATCTCCGCCATTACTAGTATTGAAAAAAAAATTATTCCCAGTATCTACACCGCCATTTGTAGATGCTATAGCTTTCACATAAACCAATTTATTTACACGTATTGAGATTTTTTATTTTTAGCAGAATACATTTTGGCCTAAATTTATGACGAAATTTGATTTAATTTTTTTTTTTATTGGACATGTTTTATAGCAAAAAGTCAAAAACTTGTTTTTTTTTCTTCAAAACGGTTATGTTTCACATGACTGTCATATGCCTTTAAGTGTTCTTTGCATTTTTCCTCTGCTCCTCCCTTTGCTTTGGTTTAGTTCATGCTGTATAGATAGCCCCACCCCTTTTCCTAGTAAGGAGTTTCAGCTTCAAGCCTCATGTCATGAAGCAGATCACATTATGATATTTTGACCTATCCGATGTTCATTGTTGTAAGATTCTCTCAGTTTATGGAATAAACTTCAAAAGATCTACAAGGTGTCATCTGATTGAGTCACTGCCTGTGTTATTCAACTAAGATTGGAGTTATCGCTATCTCATCACAACTGTAAGTTACAGAGATCACACTTTCAATGCTTAGATTGGAGAGACAGAACAAAAACTGTAGTTCTTTTTGTTAATAGTGACAAAAATAAAAAACACAGAGGTGATCAAATGCCACCAAAAGAAAGTTCTATTTGTGGGAAAAAGAGGATATAAATTTCATTTGGGTGCAGCGTTGCATGACCGTGCAATTGTCAGTTAAAATAACACAGCGCCATAACGCAAAATAATGGCCTGCTCAGGAAATCCTCTGGAAGGTGAGGGGTTAAAGCTAAAAACACATGTGATGTAATGTTCACAGTTCATAAATTGCGCTTATTCTTTATCTTCCTTCATAAAGTGTGCGGCTTTATTATCTCTAGTGATAAACATGCAGCACTTCCCATATAGGTGTGAACAAACACACCGCGTGTCCACCACCGTTCCCTCCTGAGCTCAGTTCCACTTTTTGACCTGTCCTCTTACAGGTCAAAATTAGAGATGAGCGAATTATTCAAAAATTCGATTCGGCTGATTCGCCGAATTTGCGGGAGAAATTCGATGCGAATTTATTCGCTGCGAATTTAACTTATTAAAAGGGTGTTTCTAGGCTTCAGAGAGCCTTTATATTAGTGCAGAACACTGTACCTTTAATTTAAATGCCCTTGGAGTCTGCTGGGGAAGAGAAATAACACTGTCAGTCAGTATGACATGCAGATGAGTGCCGTCGATCTTAGAATCACCGCACACTTCACTCATTTGGGCAGTCACGGGAGAAGAGGAAGAAGAGGAAGAAGAGGAAGAAGAGGAAGAAGAGGAAGAAGAGGAAGAAGAGGAAGAAGAGGAAGAAGAGGAAGAAGAGAGAAGAAGAGGAAGAATTCCAGTACAGCAAAAAGTGTATCTGCAGAGAGCTCCGCTATTTCTGACAGTTCTCTGACAGTTCCTTCACATGTACAGCGGTTGAAACATTGTATCTATTTGTTTCAGAATAAAAACATCTGTATCCTAAATGGAAACAAATAGATACAATGTTTCAACCGCTGTACATGTGAAGGAACTGTCAGAAATAGCAGAGCTCTCTGCAGGGACACTTTTTGCCGGCTGATCGGGGAAAATTCGATTCGCGCACCCGAAGTATGCTAATATTCGGATTCGCCGTGAATCGAATTTTTCCTGAAATTCGAAACAAATTCCACTTCGCCTGGTTCGATTCGCTCATCTCTAGTCAAAATCACTTGAATTTTTGGATCTTTAGCAACCTCTTCACTTTCGATATGGGAGTAGAAGGCAAACCCCCCCCCCCCCCCCCTCAAAAAAAAAAACGGACGATCATTCATCCAATATTCTCATTGTGTGTACGGGGCTTAAGACTACTTACTTGTCATGGTAAAGCTGAGAGTAATTTCCTCCTCCAGGGATCTGTGGCTGACAATACAGGAAAATACATCTCCGGGTTCAGCGTCGGTAGACGGCTCCACAGTCAGCACACTGGTCACAATAAATGTCCCATCGCTGTTCCCCAAAGGTGTTGTGAAAGAAACGTCCTTGTCCCAAGGTGAGCTCCTGCTGTTACTTTTACTGGATTTAACCCATCGGATCTTCACAGCTTCTGGGTAAAATTATTATTGACTTCACAACGGACAGATCCCGTGATTCCATCTTCAATATGTTGATCATGGCTCAGCGCCGTCTGCGGCTTAACTGTACAAGGAAAGACACAATTATTCATTATTTCTATACTAAAGGCTAATTCCACTTAAAGTGTTACTAATTCCCGGACCCCACATTCCCTCTATCCGCTCTCCCCGGACCCCACATTCACTATATCCGCTCTCCCCCGGACCCCGCATTCACTATACCCGCTCTCCCCGGACCCCGCATTCACTATATCCGCTCTCCCCGGACCCCGCATTCACTATACCCGCTCTCCCCGGACCCCGCATTCACTATATCCGCTCTCCCCGGACCCCGCATTCACTATACCTGCTCTCCGCGGACCCCGCATTTACTATATCCTCTCTCCCCAGACTCCGCATTCACTATATTCGCTTTCCCTGGACCCCGCATTCACTATATCCGCTCTCCCTAGACCCCGCATTCACTATATCCGCTCTCCCTAGACTCCGCATTTACTATATCCGCTCTCCCCAGACCCCGCATTCACTATATCCGCTCTCCCTGGACCCTGCATTCACTATATCCGCTCTCCCCGGACCCCGCATTCACTATATCGTTCTCCCGGGACCCCGCATTCACTATATCCGCTCTCCCCGGACCCCGCATTCACTATATCCGCTCTCCCACAGTAGACAGAATATGGAAATGCAATTATTTTAGTAAACTGCTAAATCCCTTTTCTCATCAGCAGTATATAGCAGTCTTGTGACTTCTATCAGTGTCCAGCAGAGCACTGGTTAAAACTTGTAGAAGGAGTTTTCATTTTGTTCTAGGAGGATGCAGAACCTCTGATCTCTGTCTGGAAAGTGCTGATTGGCCCTGTGCTGGTCACATGCACTCTCCCAAGAAAAAAAAAAAAAAACTCTGTAGCAATACACAATTAAACTTAGCATGTGCAGCTTGCCCCAAGGCAAAAAAAAATAGTAAATAAATATATATATATATATTTGCGGAATGGTAAAGTCATTGCGAAATCTAAAAAAATCAAAAACAATATGGTAAAGTGCATCATGACTGTAATGAGCTGAGTGAAACAGTAAAGTGCATCAAGTAAAAGCATGAAAATATCAGCTAAACAGCTCAAAAAGCCCATGGAACAGAGCTCACTTTGGAGGGGTGGGGAAACCCGTCTCAGCTCCCCATATCCCTCTCATGTGTAAGTCGCCCTGTGCTTGTTAGATGTACAGGGTGATCTTTCTTAATATTGTGTAGACATGTTTAGGAGATGTGGGGGTTGTGGATAGTTTAATGCCATGTGGTTGCATCCCATTTATTCTATTGTGTGTCTTGCTTGGGAGCAAACTATTATGTATGTGTTTATGTGGACTGGGCTCGGGGGGGGGGGGGGGGGGGGTGTCTCCAACAGCCTCCCTCTTGATGGGACTGTTTATTGGTGTGTCTGTTACTAAATGTAGATTGCCCCGCCTTGTGTCATTATGCGAGGGGGGGGGGGGGGAGGTTGTTCTCTTGAATGTATATTTCTTGTATCTGTGTTAAAATAAAGTAGTCTCACAGAAAACAAGGGAGGAGCCTGAACATGGCGGCAGCTGAGGGGCTGGAGGTAGGAGCTCTCAGCTAAGCTCCTCCACAAACCTTCCCAGGGGCCTTTCAAATGGAGTAAAAGCCGAGAGTTACCCGAGAATCGGGGGGTCTGGTGGCGGAGCGGAGGTGCAGAGCCGTGGAGTGAAGAGAGGTCCGCCCGGAGCCCGGCAGATCAGAGAGCCGGGTTGCCGGGTGACAGGAAGAGCAGGCGGGTCACGTGACTACCGCAAAGGAGCACTGGGAGCGGAGGAAGCCGGCCGGCTTGTGAGTAAGGGAAAAGGCGGCTTTCTGCTCCCTGTATCTTGCTCCCTAATAATACCCCCTGGCTGGTCGTGCAGAGGGGTGAGGCCCTGGAAAGAGCCTCTCTGTGAAGGACCCCTATGGAATCGGGAGAAGGAAGAGAAACAGCCCAGGGGAATCCCCCCCCAAGGCGCAGAGGAGGAGCTGGATATCAGCACAGAGGAGCCGGATACCTGAAACCCCTGTCTTCTACACAGCAAGGGACGAGAGACATGGGTGAGTGAGAGACTTTGGAACTGTTGCATTTATTAATGTCCCATAGTGCTGTTGAGGAAGATAAGGGGAGAGGGGGAGATAAGGGGGATTCCAGGGGCTCCTGAAATAAAAGAAGAGGAGAGAGAGAAAGAGGAAGATTAATTATGCAACCTAAAAGGAGGAGAAACCGGTCATCAATTGGGCTAGGCTGGGACCTTTTATCTATGTGAACCATCTTTGCATAAAAGAGAGCAATGCCCATGAAAGAAATGAAGAACAAAAGCAGTAAAGGAAGTGGGGCAAAAGGGCCCCAAATGGGAACAATTAAAACAATATACATCCCAGGGAAAAAAGTGACCCCAGAAAGAGCTCAAGATAAAAAATGGAAAAGGCGAAGGGGATATTAGTGTGGAAAGCAGCCCTAGACTATCGCTGGGACTAAATATCAGTAGCCAACAAACAATAGGAGCCATGGAGATGATGAGAGAGAATGAAAGTGAACTACAAGTGTCAAATAAAAAAGAAATGGCAGAGATGTTTAAAGATCTAGAGATGATAATAAAACAAGAAATGGCAACTATTCGAAAGGATCTAGGGCAGGTGCTGGCGAGAGTGGAAGAAATGGAGGAGAAAAGTGAAAAACAGGCTCAAAATATTGTGGAATTAGAAAAGAAAATAAAGAATATGGGGAAAATACAGGAAAAAATTGATTATATAAGATGGAAGTTCAAGAAAATTGGAATAGGAGGAGCAACCTTAGGATAAAGGGGAGTCCCAGAGAATGTAAAAGGGGAAACATTGCAAGAATTAAGAAAAAAAAATGTTTTTACTCCATATTGGACAGACCTGCCCTGGAGGTGATTGACTTGGGAGATATTGTGAGAGTAGGAAAGCTCCAACAAGGCAATGGGAAAGAAAAAAAAACAAGGGACGTAATTGTTAAACTCAACAATTATAGAGATAAAGATAGCAATCTGGAGAAAGATCAAAGGAAAAGCAGTAATCAGATATGGAGAAATGGGATATCCAGATATATGCGGACCTTACACCGGAGACTTTGTGGAGAAGGAGATCCCTGAAACCTTTACTAGAGCAGATGAGGAAAAAGAATGTGTTTTATAGATGGGGGATCCCAGCATGCTTAATTGGATGGAAAGATGGAGTTACAGCCTATTTGAGATTCCCGGAAGACATGAGAGATTTTTGTGAAAAGCTGGGGTTGCAAAGAACGGTGATGGCCGGATGGGGGGAAGAGGAGAGAGAGATAGGGGCAACGAGACAAGAGGACTGGCAGTTTGTCAGAGGGAGGAATTAGGGTGGTGGGGGGGAGAGGTTTTTTTTTTTTTTTTTTTTTTTTTTTTGCTCTTGTGTCTCTCTCTCTTCTTCCTAGCCTCATTCTTTCTTTTTTTTTTTTGTCAGTCCTAAAGAAGTTAATATTTAGTCCTGTTTTCAAGGGGGGCACCTGAAATGTTTACTGGAAGGCACCGGGGAGGGGGGGAGGGAGGAGGAGGGTTCAGTAGGAGCGTCCATGGCTGGAGTTTGACCCTAGTTTAAAATCAAAGGTGAGGTGTTAGACCCACAAATGATTAGTAGGTATAATAGTTGCCTAAAAAGGGGAAGGGGGGAGGTTGGGGGGAGGTGTGGGGGGAGGGAAATTGATAATAAGGTTAACACTCTGTAGGTTTGAGAGAGATATAAAAGCAAGGGAAAAGAGGAGGAGAGTAGTTACGAGATCCCCGGTTGGAAAGGAAAAAGAGGGAAATAAAAAGGATGAAAGAACTACAAGTTATCACGTATAACGTAAAGGGGTTGAATTGTCCTGGGAAGAGATTTAGGTTAATTTAAGGAACTACATCATCAAGCAGTTTCGGTGGGTTTTTTGCAGGAGACACATCTTGAGATAGAATCCAAGGTTAAGTTAAAATCCAGAGATTACCCAACATGGTATTATGCAGATTCCCCGATTAGGAGAGCTAAAGGGGGTGGCAATAGGGTTCAGAAAAAATGTAAGATTCGAATTGGAGGATAGAAAAGTGGACCCAGAGGGGAGATATTTGTTCTTGAAGGGTAAAATACAAGAGGTGGAGTGCACAGTAGCTAATATATATTTTGTCCAATAAGAAACCAGAGAAGTATCTGAAGGGAGTGTTTAAAAAAACTGATGGATTTTAAAGAGGGTTGTTTGATATTGGCTGGAGATTTTAATTTTTTTTTGCATGGATCCACAAAAAGATACAACCTCTTCTGTGCAGCGAGAGGGGAGTAGAATCTCTGAGATTATTAAAGAAGGTGATCCATGAGTCTCCAATTGGTAGACTCATGGAGAATTTTGCATATGAAGGATAGGAGATTACACATTCTTTTCAAATGCACATGAGACGTATTCAAGACTGGATTATATACTGATAGAAAAACCAATTTTATAGAGTCAATGGTTAAAAGCAGATATAGGAGTAATGACTCTTTCAGACCATGCCCCTGTTGTTTATTGAGGATGGGATGGGGTGTGTAGGAGGAAAACAGATGGGGTAGGATGGAGGCTGAATGAAGCACTTCTCAGGGATAAGGATATTGCACAGAAGATTGGGAAAGAAATTGAGAGATTCTTCAGAGAGAATGAGACAGAGGATGTGTCAAGGGGCAATAGTGTGGGAGTCACATAAGGCATATATAAGAGGAATCCTGATTGCTATTGGGGCAAGAAAGAAAAGAGAAAGGAGAGAAAAAATTTAGTGGGCTCTTAAATATATATATCTGACCTGGAACAAATACACAAAAATAGCATGGAAAAAGAAATTAAGCAGAAGACAAAAAAAAAAAAAAGAAAGAGGAGTTAGAGACTGATGGAAGAGGAGAGAGAAGGAGAGTTTATAACAAAGTGCTAAGTGAGAATTATAAATGGGGAGATAGGCCAGGAGGAAATATCTAATGAGAGCCTTAAGGAAAAGAAAAAAAATAGGAATTATATAGATAAAATAAAAAGCCCCAAGGGAGAATTGGTCCACTCAAATAAGGAGATCGCAAAGGTGTTTGTGGATTATTATTATAGGAAGTTGTATAATATCAACCCATATGACGCAGCAAATAATATGGAAAAGGAAAATAGGGAAAAAAAGGAAGATATATTTAAAAAAATGCAGGATTACCGAAATTAAAAAGATCAACTAAACTCCCTTGAAGCAGAAATTACACAAGAAGAGATAAAAGCAGCAGTTAAAAAGTATGGGGACGGGGAAAAGCCCAGGACCGGATGGCTACACAGCAGGGGTACTATTGAAAAAATTTAGTGAAATATTGATTCCCAAATTGGAAAAATATATTGAATGCCTTGGGAGAAGAGATGGACATGAGGGGAGAATCTTTACAGGCTCACATGGTACTGTTACATAAGGAAGGGAAAAGACGCCTCGCAGTGTTCGAGTTAC